GTGGGGGTAGTGCGGGGCGACCAACTCGAGTCCCGCAAGTGCTATGTCGCCGCCTTGAAGGGAAAGACCAAGGTAGTCGACGACCTCGAATTGGAGCGACCTACGGAGCAAGGTGAAGAACGAGCCGTGCCCACAGAAGAAACTGTCGCAGTCCCGACCTCAGCGGCAGACCCAACTCAGATGCTTCAAATTGGCGCTTCCGTCCAGGAACCTTTATGGTCCGAACCGGTAAGCTTCTTACTTCAAAATTTAGATATTTTTGCATGGTCCGCGGCAGAGATGCCCGGTATAGACCCCGAACTCATAACTCACAAGCTGAACANTTACTTCAAAATTTAGATATTTTTGCATGGTCCGCGGCAGAGATGCCCGGTATAGACCCCGAACTCATAACTCACAAGCTGAACACTGATCCTGTAGTTAGGCTCGTTAGACAGAAGAAATGCAACCTAGCCCCGAAGCGGTGGAAAGTGGTCGACGAGGAGGTCGAAAAGCTCATCGTAGCTGACTTCATAAGAGAAGTCCACTACCCGAGCTCACCTCTCCGGCTAGGGAACCAAGAGGTCTTTGATAGGGGCTTGCCAGCCTGTCGGCTGCTACTGTTAGATTTTGAGGAGTCGGCCTTCCTTTGGCCAATCAGGTGTTGGCCCGGTGGTGTACGGGTAAATCGTCCACTATACTATCCTTGGCTCCCGATGGGGTGGCCACCCTATTCGCAGATTCCTATTGAATGCCCTACCTCATCCAACCGCTGGGCTAAGTTATCCAGCCTATCCAGGACCATCTTGAATGGTACATTGTAACTAGCTTCTGAGTGTTATGGGCATTGTCTTGCATGTCAGTTATGTCGAAAACTAGGTGAATTAAATTATATTGTTTTTAAAGGGAAGTCTTGAAAATGTTCCCACAGATAGCAGCAATTGTTGCTATCAGGTATGAGGCCGAGGGCAACATTGTAATTTCCTTAGCATTCAAGGCTGACAGGTCTGATTTGTAGATAAAAGAAGAATACACATTAGAGGCCTTGAGTGTTATCCCAAGGGCGGAGACTCCGATGGTCAAATTAGTTGAGTTCTCAAAAAGAGGTCAGAATAGTAAGCAACAATGAATGTGTCTTTACCTTGAAGTGAGCATCCCCTTTTATAACTAACCCTGCCTTAAGAATGGTTGGAATCAATTGGTGATGTGCAGTTAGGATTTAATTTGCCTGATACCATGTGGCACGATTTAAGGCCTGCCAAGTATCCTTACATCATGTTTCTTTTTCTAGAGCAGGAAGAAGTTTCACTGCTCAAGTCTTGCAAGTGGTTAAAAAATAGGTTTCTTCATCTTAATCACATAATTCAGAGTAGTCACTATTTCTAACATTGATTTTTGAAATTCGGTGCAGAAATTCTCCATACCTCATTGGCAATTTTGAATTTTCTGATCCGCCGAAGCTCTTTTGCTACTTCCTCCATCATTGGCCTTTCTTCAGGGTTATCTTTCGTGCATCTAAATGAGAGCTCTAAACATGCCGTCTGTTGCTCTCTTCTCCCCTCTAGGAAGAGATTGGCCATCAAAATTAATCGACGGCCTTCTTCGTCGGAAATGGCATAATCCTCTGGCAAGTTTATCTGGATCACCCTTTCTCCGTACCGCGATTCGACAGAGAGAGTAGTGCTCTGTAAATTACAATTGTCCGAATTAGATGATGAATTCATCTCATCCAGGCGTCTCTCAATATCATCCAATGTCCTCAACATCTCACAGTAACTCATTCCAGCCAGAATCTCTAGCAGGATAATACCGAAGTCATACACATCGGCCTTCTCTGTATATATTGCAGTTCTCCAAGTTTCAGGAGCCATGGCTCCTTTTGTCCCACGCACACAGTCAGTTTGTACACTTGTCTCGCCCAAGGGAATCCATAGTGATAATTCAAATGCGAAGAGCCTGGGAACAAATCGTTCATCCAATATAATATTATGAGATGCGATATCCCTGTGGATGATAGGCCTAGCAGCTGCTGTGTGGATATAAGTTACTGCATCAGCAATCTCTGAAGCAATCCTTAGCCTACTCTCCCACGGTAGTATCTCACGACCAGATATGGATTTATGAATACGTATACGTTCCGAGAGAAGTCCGTTGGAAAGGACAAATTCGTAAACCTGGATGGGGATCTCGGTCTCCAAGCAACAACCCACCAGCTTCACCACGTTCCTGTGATTCAACTGGATTAGTACAGCCATTTCGTGTGTGTTCATCTTAATAGACCATGGTTCGCTGCGATACTTCTTGATCAAAATCGGACGATCTTCACGAGTTCCCTGGTACAAGTCGTACCACGGCGATCGCCGAAGATAATGTTGTTGATCGTAGTTATTGGTAGCCCTCACGAGCTCTTTGGCAGAGAAGATGCGGAAGGGATTATTTTTGCCATTACAAGTAGTGATCAGTTCCTCCAACAACTGACTTCCATTCTCCAAGAAGAATTCCTTTTTCTTTTATTCTCCCGAGAATAGAGGCATATTCTTAACGAAATTTGAATAAAGAAATGGAAAAGTTTGAAAAACAAAGTAATGGGTTAGACTGGAGTATGCAACTAGCAGTTGCGACAGAAACCAAAACAAAGGCTAATTGCACAGGAAGAAAGGATTTTTATACAACCTTGTAGAGATGGAGAGCTGCAATTAACAGGATGAAAGGATGCTCGTTGAGGGAGGGCTTTTCAGATTTCAGGTTCCTCCTCTCCTCTGGTTTAATGCGTGGCCCCTTCCTTAATGGGTCTCGACTCTCTTTAATTTTAGAGTTTTTCAGCAGCTGCAGACGTCTTGATCTCTGCCTCTAATGTAGGTTTTTAGTTGAAACTCTCAAGTGAAGGATGGATTATTAAACATCTGATTTCAAAATGGAAATCCAAGAAAGCCCCCTTCCGACGTAGGTAAGAAGAAAGCCCAACGAAGGACGCCAAGGTCCTACCAGCATAATTAGTGACTACTTATTCAACGATTGACTTTCACTCTCCAAGACGAAGAATTCCTCCTCTTTGTTTTTTTTCTCCATCCAAGAAGCAACGCATACTCTTCGTTGCCTACGCCGAGTCATAAATGTGAGATAAGACACAGAAGGGAAAAGAACCCGAAACCAATGAACAAGCTTGAAGCTCAATCATGCTATACAGCGAAGTTTTCTACCTCAAGGATATGGAATGAAATGAGATTCCTATGTATCACTTTTGTTTGAAGCAATCTCCACTGATCCTCACCCAAAAAAATCTCCACTGATCTAAAATGTAATGAGGAATCGAGGTCCAAGATAGACCAGAAGCCTTCATTTGATTTGGTATCGACCCATTTCAATTTTCAACCCCACTACTACTCATCTTCAACCCTTCAGACTGCGTTTGGTTTGATACAAATTAAATAAGACAGAAGCAATAATCCTAAGGAATTTCACAAAATATGCCATGAACTTGTCTATCAAAATATTTTGTCATGAACGTACTTTTGTGTTTTTAAATTTTGATAATCTTAATTTTTGTTTCCACCATCCCAATTCCCACCTTAAATTTGTTTCGAACTAGTGAAGTTTACATATATATATATATCAAAGTAAATTTGTTTAATCTTATTTATTTATTTTTATTTTAAGTAAATTTATTTTTCAAAATTAAACAAGAATTTAAATTTGGTTTAGATCCAATTTAAACCAATAAAAATATTAACCAATTTATTTTGAATTAATCCAGTCCAATAATTATAATAGACCGTCAAAATCTGATTTAATAAGATTTGAATAGAATTGAATCCAAACCAAAGTCGATCGATTGGCTGCCCTCCTACCAGCATTCAACAACCTTTAATTCTCCTTAGAATGGTGAGTGGCTCACCTTAATCGATGACGACTGAAAAGAAAATTTTGGCCCAATAGTGAAAGGGCAGAAAATGGTAAGGCAGTTTATTCTAATTATCACCTAATCAGGGATTAGGATAAAAAATTGGGCAACTTTATATTTGTCATTGCAAAGTAGTAATTAATTATTCAACAGCTGACTTCCATTCTTTGTTTTTTTTTTTCTTCCAACCCAGAAGCAACGCAAACTCTTATTTGGCAGCGCAGAGAAACAGAGAAGACAGAAGGGAAAAGAAACGAGGCTAGAAGTCTTCATTTGATTTGGTATCGACCCATTTCAATCTTCAACCCCACTATACTACTCATCTTCACCCTTTCAGACTGCGTTTGGTTTGATACATAAGACAGAAACAGTAATCACAAATTTTCCATGAACTTATCCATCAAAAAATTTGGTCATAAACTTTCTATAGTTTCTTGAAAATTTGATAATCTTAATTTCTGTTTCCACCATCCCAATTCCCAACTCAAATTTGTTTCTACATGGTAGAGTTAGTGAAGTGTCCGTTTTTATTTTGATAAAAATATGAGAAGAGTTTTAACCAAAATTTTCTCTGTGAGGATCCACCCCAAATTGGGGGGGGGGGCAGGGATAGGGATGATTTTTTCATGTGAAAATGGGGATAAAAAATTTTCATCCCTATTGGTGGAAATGGGGAAAGTACTCCTTCGCCCCTGCCCCACCTAGTTCATGTCCCATGAGGATCCCTACTTGTATGTCTACATGTATGCATATATGTATGTATGTATGTATGTATATATATATATATATATATATATATATATATATATATATTTAAAAATATGTTGAATATATTTGGATTTTCTAATATTATTATAAATTTTAACTATTTTATTTTTAATTTTTTTTAAATAAAATAAAAAATAAAAACAAAATGATTAACATCATAAAAAATCACAAGGAGTTGGGATCTAACAAAAGGAGTCTAATTACAATATGTCATAAAGTTCAGAAAAGGTGATTACAATTACCAAACTTTAAAAAGGAATCTAACTCTATTTTAATTTTTTAAAATACAAATTGAAAAATAAAAAGTTAATTATTTTTTAACTTTTATATAATAAATTAATATAAATATAACATACTGAATTTATTATAAACAAATTCATATATAATTTAATATATAAAATATATTTTTCATAATTTTAAATATATTTATATAAAAATTATATATTAAAATCAATAAATATTATAATATAATTGAATTGAGAATTTAATCAAATGAGACGAAATCAAATCCAATTACATAAATTATCAAAAATTGAAATAATTAGATCAAATCTCGGATTGGAACATGGATTTTCAAGTATCATTAACCGGCCTAGATATTTTGGCTATTTCAAAATTATGTTTCTCTTCCCTGTTTAAAACTTGAAGGTATTTGTGTCCTGCGTGACATTTAAGGTTGATTAATGGTTTTGGACTAAAGGGCTAAACTTTTTACTACTCTCGCAATTTACACTAAAACTTTTTACCACTCGCGCAGATCTCATTTCAACAAAATGGGCTCACGGTTCCGACAGTTGCACAGCAAATATGGCTTCGACCACTAAGAAGGCTACGGAGGTTGCAGCAATATTGAAGCTGAAGCCGCATCCCGACGGAGGATTCTACTCGGAAACCTTAAGAGATTCTTCGGTCATTGTCCCTAAATCTCAACTTCCACCCCGATGCAAGTACCAAAAGTCGCTTATTTTTTTATTGATCTTATAAAACAGCTTCTTTTGATGCAATTACCTAACAAGTTATCTGTGCATTGATGTTTACCATTGTGGGTTCCTCTGTATTTGGGCGTTCATCTTGTTTGCCATTTTGTTGTTTTCCCTTTTCAATTGCTCTTTGGGCTTTCTTGCTGGTTTCTCATAAGAGAAATGATTTGATGTTTTCCTGATATTTTGTTGCATGTTCTTTGTCAATGCATTTCAGTTGCGACTCTTAGTTTTCTTGAAATGGAGAAATAAACTGAAACACATTGATGGGGGGCAAATTTTTAGATTGTCCGATTAAGACAGATAAGCGAGTAAGCCTATTTCATACAGGCTAACTACCGTGATTTTCCATTTTGAAGCCTAATAGGTCATCTATGACCCTATTAATCCAGACTCTGGAACTCGTACATGGATTATTGTAATATTTTGTAGTTTCCCCTGGACCTTATCCATAACTTGCTAATGAACGTCTGATTTGCGTTCTGTCACTTGTTTAGGTATACTCTAGGCTTTCATTGTTTTGTGAAGTGTTGGACTTGATATGTGATAGTTAAGTTCACCAGATAATTTGGGTAAGTGCTTATGGCTGAGTCCATATCCTTTTAATTAATAAAAGTTTCTGTTATTGATAAAAAAAAAAGTACTTATGGCCGAGTGCTTGTGCTTGTCTTTTAATTCTCTGTCATACTAATAGATTTTATAAGGCATGACTTAAAAGGTTGCTGTAGCAGTCGTAGGTTTAGTGTGAAATCTGTTCAAGAAAAAGAAAAGAAAAAGAACAGAGGAGGAGAAGAAGAGAAGAAAGATAGGGGCGGGGGCGGAACTTTGCAAAGGAAACCTTCAGGGAGGTGGAAGAAGATGCTAAATTCCAGTCAAAAGAGAAGAACAAGGGGATGCCAATTTCAGATGCTAAGGTGGCTGGTTCTGGTTCTGGGAGAACTGAGGAGTGGAAGTTTGAAGATTATTGCAGGTGTAGAGGAGGGGAAGTTTAGGAGGGATGGCCTGACCGCAGCTCAATTTTTTGAAAAGAATGAAATTTTTGAATTAGAAAGAATCAATGCTAAAAAGGAGGCTGATATAAAGATGGAGAAAAGTACAAATGCAGTAAGAAGATTTAGAAGACAAAACCAACGAAACTGTGCAGGCCTCAAAAGTTTTTGCCAGGTTAAAGTTGGGAGTATTTGGAGCAGGATTAAAGAAGGGGAAGAAGATAAGGAAAATATCTCAGACGAGAAGTGAGATGTCTGTTTTAGATAGAGGACAGGATGAGAAAATGGATAAAGCTTGAGTTTTAAGTTTTTCGTCAGAAGGTTGGGTAGGCTCAGGGTGTTTTTTCTTATGTGTTTTATGGCAAGGGTTGGTTGGTGCGGGATCTGCAGTTTTTTGGTTGCTTTTGTCTCTTCTAGTGATTGGTGGAAAGGGTCTCTGCGATATTTGTTCGTCTCTTTTTTTGGGTACTTGTATCTGGTTTTGTTTCAAGGTGTTTTGTATTAATGTAGGGCTTGTTTTATGTTTAAAGGGTTAATTTTGTTAGGGTGGGTCTATCGTATTTGGGTCTGTTTTTGCTGGGTGATTCCTTATCACCCTGTTGTATTCTCTTTTGCCCTTCTATAAAGTTTATTTTTTATTTATCTTCAAAAAAAATGAAGAGACGGTTTTATTATTACTTCCTTTATTATCTCCTTGACCTTTGATGGATGTTGGTGTGCTTTTTTTCTCCAGCTTTCCTATGTTCTGCTGGCTATAAATTCAACCTCTTAAGGTCTTTGTGTCAGTTAGGGTACTGTTTTAACAGACAAGGTTGCTGGTGAAGCAAGGCTGTTGAAGGCTATTAGATGGTCATATATTGTCTTTTTTTTTTTTATGTATCTTGTTTGCATTTAGATTTCTAGATTTTGCTCCCTTTTGTATAAATTATTCAAGTAGGCATTCCGTGGTGTGCTTTGGGTTGGTTCAGCACATCCTTTCTTTGTATGAATTTGGTTTATCATGCTTAAGATCTTTGGTTATTCCATTTTTTTCTTCTGTTCAAGAATTACTAGGATATTTTGTTTTTTGTAAATTGGATATTCTGTTTCCACCAGATGCTATACTCATTGAAAAGTGAGCACAAAGCATGGTCATCTATAAAGTTTGGTTTGATGTAGTATGATCCTAAGCCTTCAATTTGAAATTTGGCCTATTCCATTCCGTGTTATTTCTTGTATTTGTATTGTTTACACTCTTCCATCTTACTAGAGCTTATATGTAGACAAGGTTGAGCGTCCTGTCAGCACGTCCGTTTACTTCTTGCTGCCATCAGGGAGTGTAGCATGTTTCCACCGTATCCCATGTGCAGAAACCTTTCATTTTTACATGGGGGAACCTCTAACGGTATGTAGATGAGTTTTATTAGTTAATTTACAATTTCTACCTACATGTCAAATGGGTGAACCATTTATAATTTAATTTACATTTTTCATATGATACCGTGGTTGAAGGACTTGTAAGTGGAATGAAGACTTCCTTTTTTGAATATTAAGTTCCTTATTCCCATTATATGCAAAGAAAGCTGATTCCCCAGTTAAAACCATCTGTCTGTGAAAACCAATCTTGCTAAAAGCTGAACACACCAAAGAAAAGCAGATACAGATAAATATAATCCATTACAAATGGACCTCTGGCCTGGGCAAATCCCAGTTACTTCCTTGACAGTTGATACCAGTTCCAACTAGACTATTAGCAAGGAAGTTGGCCGATCTTGGGATCCACTTGAAGAAATACTATTTCTTAACCTGTTTTTATCTATTTTTAATATGATCATTTGAACTTTTTACTTTGATTGGCTAATTTCCTAGCAAGGGAAATTGATTATGACTTTGGTGAGAAATACTATTTCTTAGAAAAACTTACATTTTCCTTTCAAAAGAAAAGAAAAACAGAAGACGACTCCACTCTATTCAGAGAAACATATTTATATCCAAATTACACAACTGTTCTAAGTTCTAACTGCTCTTCCCCAGTAAATTCATTCTACAGGTAGTGGAGCTGAAAGATGATGGGACAGTGAAGATGACGAACCTTGGAAACGACCTAGAATCTGGCCAGCGACCACAATACACTGTACCCCCTGATGTATGGTTTGGTTCATACCCCACGAGGGACATTGTCATTTCCGAAGATGGTAATTCACTGGTCAAGGCTCCCACCAGGGATGCTGAGAGCCATTACTCCCTACTTGGGGTTACCTGTGCACCTGCTTTCCAATTTGAGGACTCTGAGGTGGCAAAACGTTCTGAACTTGTTGCACGGTTTCTATCAAAGGAGCATTTGATCTGTTACCTCACTTACCCTGACTGAACAGTATCCTATCTATGATTTTTCTGGGCTTTTTGATACTGAGCTGTCAGCTTTCCCAATGATCTTCTCCAATTTCTTAGATATTGCCAAGATGCAAAGTAATTTGAATACATGGGAATGACAGGGAAATTCATACAAATATTGATAAAATTTATTTTAATGTCGAAAATATTATAAATAATCTGATGCAAAAGTTATTTTAAATAAGATATAAATTATAGGGATATTATCTAAAACTTATCATCATTTTCCATATTCCTCTTAAACTCAACATGACTTTTCAAAACCTTGGGAGAGCCCAATGTTGCTGAGCTTTATTGTCCAAAACTCACCTTCCATTAGTGATCATTAATAGAAATTGACCATGTAAGCGGTTAAGTATTTTGCATGACCAAACTATTGTTAGTGACCATTAATAGAAATTGTCCATGTAAGCGTTTAAGTATTTTACACAGAGGTGTAGAGTTGTGTTGGGTCGGTACGGCATGGTCCGCGGGTGGCCCATGCAAAGTGTAGGCTGTGTCATGCTGGTCCGCGGGTCGTTATGGGTCGTGCTGCCCTCTTTGGTGAAAAATTTAGGGGTTGTCCCGGTTGTGTCGTGCCATGGGTCGTGCAGGCCTGTGGTTGAGTCTTGGGCCAGGTTGGGCTTGTGCATCGGGCCAAAGCTATTTATTTAAAAAAAATAACAAAAAATTTAAAATTATAATTTTATATGAATTTTGTGTATACAATTGCTTATATATAATAATTAAATAAATTAGTATAGTAAAATTAAAAAATTATTTATTTTATTAATATATTATATACTATGTATTATTATATAATTATAATTTATATTATATTATATAAATAATATATGCGGGTTGTGCTAGGCTGGGCCGTGCCAGTCGGGTAGCCGGTTGTGCTGTGTCGGCCCGTGGACCTAAAGCCCCAAACCTAGCATGACTTGCATGATCGTGTTGGGCCTGGCACGACCTGTGGACCATCGTGCCATAGGCGGCACGGCCTGATTTACACCTCTAATTTGCATGACCAAACTACCCCTAAATGGCTTATCAAGCTTATTAAATATTTTATAACAAAATTATCCTTGACATGGGCCTAGGCCCATACTATTTCAAGCCCAGACTAGGCTTGACCCAACCTGGATATATTTAAAATATGTGCATAATTATTTTATATGAGCAATCAAGGATAATTTTGTTATAAAATATTTAATAAGGTTGACTAGCCATTTCAGGGATAATGTAAAATACTTATGTTTTCATGGCCGACTTTTATTAATGCTCACTAATGGTGACTTGATAGAAATTTGATGGAAGGTGAGTTTTGGACAATAAAACTCATTGAGAGAGGGTTTTTGGAGGTTTTGAAAAGTGATGATGAGTCTAAGAGAAATGTGAAAAAGTCATAATGAATTTTAGATAGGATCAATAAATCATACAAAATAAAAAATACATACTTTAATAGTTTATATGAAGTTATACATAATAACATAGATATCTATATGCCAATAAGTAGCTATTAAATAAAACTTCATTAAATTTATTAATTTTGCATCTATTAACCATAATTTCACTATGTGAGTATAATTCGTACATGGGTTATAAGTGTTTTGCCCATGTAAAGACTTTATGTGGCTCTCTATGCCCATCATGGCTAAATGCACATCAATGTCATGATGTCTATGGGCTATTGAATGATCAACCACTTAATAGACCATTCTCTTGTTTCCTCTCTAAAGAGAGAAACCGATAAGAAATTTAGTCGATTTAGGGACCATTAAAATCAAACTTTATGAAAGTTTATGGAAGCTACTATGGTAAGACCTAAACTGACTTGGGGATTGATATAATTATTCCCTTATCAATGATATAAATGCTAGATGATATTGAATATCATAAGATAATATCTTTAAAGTCATTTTATTATTAGCATGAAAATGAGATGAATTTGTGGGTAGAGATGCATCATAAAATTAGGTTATTTGTTTCATTGAGTCAATTAGTCGAATTGTTTCATTGGATAATGGGAGCGTTGTAGACCAGTAGGAGGGGCCTATCTTAAAATTGAAGGTTCTTTCATAGTACATTGGGGCTTCCGATATAATGGGTCAATACTTACCGATTAGAAATGTTTATCTTAAAATGGTTATGAACCTTGTCTAATCGAGGCCAAAGGGGAAGATTATGGGGCATGGCTAGATGCATGATCCTTCACAGAAAGTGATGTGGTTATGTAGTTGAAACATTTGGCCTCATGCACTTATATTATTCCCCATATTTCCAGAGGCATAAATAATGTTTCCATCCTTGAGATAGAGGAAAAATCTTAGAGATGAACAAATGGAAGTGGAATGTAGATAAAAGTTCATTCTATGTATATAACATGAAATAGTAATTAGGTCATAGACTAATTACTCATGCAATTTGTCAAAAATGGCACACAAGCCATTTGCTAAGTTGTTAGATGATAACAAACCAAAAAGACTCAACTACATAGACTGAACTAACCTTAATTCGATGCTCATCTGAGAAATTAGACAAGATTGCTAACTAGAAAGCACTAGAACATCTTGGTGAAAGAGCCTTTGAGGCTACAAGGAAGGAATATCAGGAATAGGAAGAAAAGAACTCCCTTGTCTGTTGTTACATCATCGCCTCACTAGACAACTCTATCTAGAGACAATTTGATAAAATAACAACTTATAAGAAAATTCTTGATAATTTAAAAGCCTTGTATAAAAAGTAAAATCATTCTACATAACAAAAGGTCTTCGAACTGATGACCACTAGGATGTTTGAGAACTAGCCGGTTCATGCCATGTTATGAAGATGATAGGATTCATAAATGAATAGGAGGCTCTTAGCTCCAAATTAAATGATGATACAAAAATTGATACCATCATGAATTCCCTTCTCATGTCCTTTAATTAATTTATCTTCAACTACAACATGAACAAACTAAAAGATAACTTGTAAGAGCTCGACAATATGTTGCAAAGGGCCAAGGAGTTAATTAGAAAGAACAAATCAATAGTCATGTTCGTTGAAGGAGGTAAATCTAGCAAGAAAAAACATAAGGACAAGAAGAGGCCTCAAAAAAAGACTAGTAAATTAAAGAAGTAGAAAAATGACAAATCATCAGATGAGTGTTACTTCTGCAAGTAGATTGGGCATTGGAGGAGAAACTATCTTCAGTATTTAAAATCCCTCAAGAAGAAGAAATAAGATCATTTCAAAAGTTGAGTTATAAAGACTAACATGTTGATCACTTCTGCATCTTGGTGTATTGACTTTGGGGTTTCTACTTATACATATAACAATGTGCAAGGGTATAAGGAAACCAGAAAGCTAAGTGATGACAAGGTCATGCTCTACATGGGTACATCTACAATAGTTGTAGTTGTTGTTGTAGGATTAGTAGAATTAGTTTTTACAGAATGAATTATTATCCTCAAAGTATGTCTTTATGTTCCATAACTTAGGGAAAATTTGATTTCTGTTTCTAAGTTATGTAAGGATAGTTATTCCATTCTATTTAGTTATAAAATTACAATTAAATTAAATAACAAATTCATTGTTTATGGAAAACTTGAGAATGATCTCTATGTACTCCACCCTTCTCTAAAAACAAATATAACCGAAATAATTTTAGAACACATCGTCATGAAAAGAACACGAGAAATAGTTAATCCCATATGCCTATGGCATTACTGACTTGGCCACATAAACCTATAATGAATCATAAGATTGGTGAATGATGATCTATTAGATTTTGTCACAATAGAAGATCTACTAACTTATAAGCCTTGCTTTCAAGGCAAAATGACTAAAAGGTCATTTACAAGTAAGTCTGAAAGAAGTACAAATACACTTCACTTTATACATATGAATGTATGTGGTTTCCTGAATGTTAGGATGCATACAATATTCATATTTTATAATATTTATTGATGAAAATTCTTAATGACTATGTGTACCTAATGAGACATAAGTATAAATCATTTGAAAAGTTTAGAAAATTTAGACATAAAGTTGAAAAACAGTTAAGAAGATAAATCAAAACCCTTTGATCAAATCAAGAAGGTGAATATTTTTTTGACGAATTTAGGGACTACCTAAAGGATAATGAGATTATATCACAACTATCTCCTCCTATTATACCATAATTAAATAGTGTATCAAAGAGAAAAAATCAGACTTTATTAGATGTGGTTTGATCACTCCTTGTCCTCTTAGAATTACCCATATCCATTTTGAGACATTCATTAGAGACTGCAATTTACATGTTGAATTGATTACAACTAAGTTAGCTCTTAACATTCTATATGAATTTTGGATCGAGAAGAAACAAAAAGGTTCCAACCAAGTCAATTCCTAAGACTCCATAGGGGAAAAATGCTTATGATTGAATGTGTGCAATAGAATGCTAAATTAGCAAAGAGGTTAGAAGTTAGATCATCCTCTTTGACCTTAGCTTAAGAAGAGCATGAGAAAAACCTTGCCATTATTTCTAAAACAAAAGAGAAATGCATTATTCTATAAGAAGAATTGCGCCAATTATGGGAAAAGGAATCTGACTTGATGGTAGCATTACCTTCTAGGGAAGCTACCATTAAATATGTAAAGCATGAGTTTGAATCAATAAAAGCATAGATGAAAATGTTAGATCAATCCTAACATGTTTTGTTGTTGATAATGAGGCCCTTCAATGTTTAAAGGAACAAGCCAATGATAGGAAGCAATCAATTGACTCCTCAATCTAGATAAAGAATGCGACCGAGTTTCCTCCGTTTTTTCTTTTGAGTTTATTGTTAATGACAAGATATTTCCATGGATTTCTATTGATTGTGTGATAATGAAACTCAATTTCTTATTTTGTTTGGCCATTTATAGTTTAGGCTCATGTGGGCTAAGAGCATTACAAAGAAAGATAGACATGGTACCAATTATAAGTGATGCACCACTAGTGCACCCATATGAACACTATAGAATAGTTGGAACTGCTGTTGGTGTTCTAATTGCTTAAAATTCAATCCATGTAAGTTTTATGTACCATGTCTATCTTTTATAGTTGAAATATTTGAATATAATTTTAAACTTTATATGATATGATTTATAGGTTCAACCATTATGC